CGTGAATCATTTTTTTTCTAGAGAATTGGGTCTTTTTGTCTAAAAATACAGAAACTGGCTTCCGTTTCTCGAATATCAACTTTATCCATTAACAACAATACAAGAACTGTAATTCCTGCTTGCTATGTCTGAAAACCACTCAAGAAACAGGAATGTCAACGTCTAGAAACTGTATACCTTGTGGCATATGTTTAAAATATGGAAATGAAATTAACTGAATAAAATAACTGTTGAAAAATTATTTTCATTTCTTGTCACTTTAATTTTAGTATGATGACTTATTCCTTTTCTATTTTAACTCTTTCAACTTCTTGTCCCTATATACTCTGAGTGTACGTTGTTCCGGCTAGTGATTGGTCAGATTATGCCAGACTATCGAAAGCAGTAGCGATAGTGAGTTTTCAGCTGTTAGTAGTTATAGGTATTTAGTTCAAATTCAAGTATTTGATACAAATAAGAATTAAAATGTTTGGAAATTCTATTCATTGATTTGTTATTCTACATGGTTGCCGAAAAAATTATGTACGCAACACGTACAAAAACATTTTTTTTGTACTCGCAGACTTCCAGGACTCGCGTACGGCTCGGGCTAAAATATTGTCTACTTGTCCAAAAAAACAGTATTTTCCGGACTTGTTACGAATATCATACTATTCTGCGAGCTGAAGATGGAATAGGAGTGGAATTCAGAATGGATAGTGAAAATACAATTCCCTATTATTGATAAATATCAAAAGTTCAGAACTGGCAGTCAATCGTATGTCCGATTACTGTAATTTCCTCCATGTGGTACAGTTACTCATCTTCAACATTTATAATAGACAATCTATCTGAATCGTTTCTGTTAGATGTAATGGCCGCATCTTCAATTTGCAGCGAATAATGTGCATCTCAGTTATTATTGAACGCAAACGTTATGGCAATAATGTGAGCTTTGCTGTTCATCTGGCGTATTATACAGGGTGAGGCATTCATTCAAAAGAGTCTCAATTGGATAATAATTTGACAGTACTTCTCCAACTACTCCAAGGTATTGCGTTATTCTTTTTCCTGATTTCATATCATAGCTTCCTTTATCATCTATGCTATACAGGGTGTCCCATAAACATACCGACAAACTTTAAGGGATGGTAGAGGACATCAAAATAAACATTTCTGCTTGATAAACATAAGTCCGGAAACTCTTCGTTTTCGAGATACAGGGTGTGAAGTTTTTAAAACAAAATCGATTTTTTATTAATATCGTGAAAACGATTTAGTTCAATTTAATGACATTTTCACATATCATTGATACATTCATAAGGTATCTTCTGGAGCTATTAGAATTCGCCCAATAATTTCAGGGGCGTGGGCTATGTCGGATAGTTTTTGCACAAAAACAATATCGCCCAGCAAATTTTTTTTAATTATGATAATTTTTTTTTAATGGACAACTAAAAATGCAACTTTTTAGTCCCCTGAAATTTTTTCGTATCTACCTTCGTTTTGAAGAAAAAAAACAATATCTCTTACATCTATGAAAAAAAAAAATGCTTCAAAATCATACCTTACACTTTACCAATGCGTTTATTGAAATATTGAAAAACTCATAACACTTCCAATAACTTTTTTTTACTAATCATTAATTATTAATAATGACTTTTAATCATTTTTTGTATCTCGAAAACGAAGAGTTTCCGGACTTATGTTTATCGAGCAAAAATGTTTATATTGATGTCCTCTACCATCCCTTAAAGTTTGTCGGTATGTTTATGATACACCCTGTATATCTTTCTCATTATGTCATGAATTCCTTATCTTGCTTTTGTGTTATCACAGTTGAACCTCCTATGAAGAAACTTGTTCGGAATTTTTGAGCATCCATATCATTCCAAGGATTCGCATCGACTAATCTGTGAGTTCAATTATGTTGAATTATCATAGAATTTATCTTATTTTCCCGAATGATTAACTGGGTATATCCTACTGATTTTGCCGATACACATATGCTTCTATATTTTTGACTGAACAGTCAATTCATTGAGTCACAAGTTTATGAAAACCAAAATGGTCACTTAAAACGGCAGCTACACCACTATAATATAGATAGATGGAAGAGCGCTGCTCTCTGCTTCCTGCAGTTAGTGCGAACTCTGCCTTTTGTCAACATTTAAGTAACACGGACTTTTTGGTTCAAATTATTTTTTTTTTCATTGTTGACAATAAAAGCATTATTATTATTATTATTATTATTATTATCATTATAGTGTACCAACCTTGTTCCGATTATTTTTCACACATCGTTTTCAAAAAACACAGTCAAAAAGTTTAAAAAAAATGCTCACAACTACACCACTAGAATAAACAGTATACCAATAGAGTCGATCTCTTTTCATCCTGATCGGAACATTAATCAATCAAATGAAGTGAAAGAAATCTGAAAGATCAGACTCACCATATACAGGGTGAAATTGATTTTCTCATATTTTCGTGGTTTCTTCAAACGAAATTTTCCTGAAACGGCTCATCTTGCTAATTTACGCGTGAACCATACCCATCAATCCAACTTGACACGACAGAAATTGAAATGACATCAGGCGCAAATAGCTTCTAGATCAAAGGAGCAAGCAGATAAAAAAAGCATCTTTTTTTTTCGATGTCAAAATCACTTACGGTTTTACGAAATTGAAGATATCTTATTGTTTTTTGTTTAATTGACTCGGCCGTTTCTTGATGCAAATGTAATGGCACTTCGTGTGTATGAGAATTTTGTGGAAATCTATCGGGAAGTTTTTATTTTCCTCGTGGTTTCATCATTTCTCAACCGAATTCGAATTTCTTGGCGTCGTTTCATAGCTAAAGGGCTATAGTATACAGTGGATTATTTGAAAATTCCATAATGAACAAAAACAAAATGGCGGATTCTACCAAAGTATTGTCATTTACAAAAACCGCTGGAGAAAAAGAAAATCAGATTATTTCAAACCTGTACCGATGTCATCTTAGGCTATTCATTTCTGAAGAGAATGAGTACTGAAACATCGAAATCGAACAAATAGTCCACTAGATACACTCATTTCTTTGCAATTTGTTATGGAGTGAATGTGCGAATGTCGTATAAACGATTATTATTATTTTGCTTCAGGCTTCATGAAAATTCAATCAAATTTGGATTTCTCAGAGTTATTTCGAAGATAAAGAACTGTAGTACACAATGGACCATTTGAAAATCTAATAATTGAAAGAAACAAAATGGTGGAAAATCCAGAATTTTTGTGATTTTCAAAAATCTCTGCAAAGAAATGTTTATTCTTCCAATCAGGACCGATACAATTTCAGATCATTGATTTCTGAAAAGAATGAGCACTCGAACATCTGAATCGAACAATTAGTCCAGGAGAAACACGTTCTTTTTGGCAAAGTAATATGGAGTGAATGTGTCAATCTCGTGATAAGAATTACATTGAGTTTGCTTCTGTCTTTATCAGAATTCGATCGAATTTGGATTTCACTCCATAACACTTTGCCAAAAAGAACGTGTTTCTCCTGGACTAATAGAATCCGCCATTTTGTTTTTGTTCATTATGGAATTTTCAAATATTCCACTGTATACTATAGCCCTTCAGCTATGGAACAAAGCCAAGAAATTCGAATTCGGTTGAGAAATGATGAAACCACGAGGAAAATAAAAACTTCCGGTTTTTTTGTGACCACTCGATAGTTTGTGAAGTTTCTACAATCTTATTGGCTCTTGGAATAGGCGTGTAGGTATTAATCCCTGTAATACAGAACGACAACAAGAGTGGGATAGTCTCTAAAAAATTGAATGGGTTGCTTCCGTGTGGGTCAATTCTGCTTCTTATAATACTGGAATAGTGACATAGATATTTTCATGGACGATACTCTTCTGAAATATCAACAATTGTTCCTCCCTTGGCAGTCCCCGCGAGATTAACCCGTCGAGTTGAGGCTTCGCACCCCTTCGTGGTCACTTTGGAGACCTGCAGAACATCTCTTTCCAAAGACTCGTTCATCCAACGAACAGCGGGGCTCTGGAACACATTGCCAAGGGAGGTGTTCTCCGAGGCATATAACCTCCAGAAATTTAAGAAGAACACCAATTCCTACCTTATTTCCCTTGGTTCTCACGATGTTCTCTGAACATCACAGCATATATCTACAGGAAATTCATTTGAGTGACTGCATATGTGGTTGTGAATGAATTCACTGATTGAAATTTTTGAGTGAATTCTCAACTCAAACTAGATAAATGGTAGATTTCGGGAGGAAAAAACAACTACTTTTCTGGATTATGTCACGCAGAACATCGAAAAACATCCTCCTGATATCTATGCATCGACTCGTATAAACGAATACTGATACAAGTGATTCTTTCCTGAATGCCTATTGATTTTGATTTAGCCAGGCCACGCTAGACACCTACAGACCGGTTTCGAGCTCTTTGACTCTCATCAGTGCAAGGCAGTCTCCAGCCAGCAGTCCTAAGACCGCCGACTTAGCGTAACCTAGCCAAACAAAAATCAAAGTCGGCATTATATTCTCCCAGAGGCGTCCTTCATGAAATCAACGCCATCTGAGTAGGAACGAAGAAAAGAAACACTCTAAAACTAAAATGTCCATATTGGAGTGGTTGGTTGGCCCGACTTGTAGCCAGGAAAGTAGTTATTGTTTTTCTCCCGAAATCTACCATTGTTGTTCATTTTATGAACATTGTGTGGATATGACTTTGAGCCTTTTGTATGTATTTGACATTCATCCCACTTTAAGCATTTCGTAGTTCAAACTAGATATTTCAACAAGTTCTTTTATTAATGAGAATGTATACAACAAATTTGGTTGAATCGGCTCATGAATTACCATTTAACACAGTCAAATAGGGTGATATTTCAACTCAATCGGGCGTGGACCGAAATTGGCACATTATTGCGTGAACCTTGAGTGAAATCCCACTAAATTTTTTTTCAGTGAGGTAACAACTGATCATTTTTAATTTGTTCCAGATTCAGCAAAAAGCCTCCCGAGAGGCCTCATCTCCGCAGAGAACACGATCTCCTCCTATCGAGCGGCTGGAGATGATCACCAACAGTCCCAAAACGAACCGTTTGATCGCGGAACCGCACACCGTCAGGCAGTCTCCGAGGACAGATGACGATCACTCGCCTGGAAGTCCAACGCCACCTAGCGGGAAGTATTCTCTTATGCAGTTCGCCCTGAACAACTTCAGACAGAGTACTGAGTGAGTGTTTTTTCTCCACCATTAGTTCTTGAAGTTATAAGAGTCTAGCCATAGCACCATATCGAAGTAATATTGCGCCTCGCTCGCTGCCCGCTGGGCTAAGAAGAAACTTAATTGATATAGCGAATCGCTATCGGCCAAACCAATGAATGCCTCCAACTCAGTTTTTCGATTAATTACTTCGAAAACAAAATTAGCTGGAGTCGAGATCGAACCCCGGTTTTTCGCTCGGAGGAAGTATTGTAGTCATTTATCATCTATCCTTTCTTAGTACAACACATACAGGGTTGGGCAAAAGTATGAAACCAGGTGAATATTAAATCATCATCATCAATCATTAAATAATCCTTCAATCGTCTTTTGAATGTATTTATCGAACCACTCTCTTCAATTTCTTGTGGGAGGTCATTAAAACAATCTACTCCTTTATAAAATAAGGAATTGTGTGTACTATTTTTTTTTATATTCTTCAACTTTTATATTGTTTCTGTTTCTTGTATTATACTCATGTATTTCAGCCACATATGATAATTTATTCTGTAGATACAGGTGAATATGCAATTTTTATTTAAAAAATGAAAATTAGTGTTTGATACTCGAAGAGTTTTTTCACTGGTAGCCATTGTAGGGTTTGCAACATATTTGCTATCGGTGTTATCCTTGAACATTGTAAGATTATTCGCATAGCACGATTCTGCACCTTTTGTAGTCTGTTCATTTCATTCTGGTTGAGAAAAAACAGAATGGTGGAACAGTAATTTAAATGTGGAAGGATTATGGAGTTGTATACTGATAGTTTAGACCACTGGCTTAGATATGGGGAACATCTTCTTAAATAATTGACTTTGTAAGCTACTATTTTGATGACCTGATTAGCAAGTTCCATGAATTTCAATTCATTGTCAATGGTAACACCCAAGTACACGAATTTGTTCACCTTTTCTATATCACTGTCATTCAATCTTAGAAGTAGATTTTCATTATTATGATCTTTATGTTTTCCTAATAACATCCATTTTGTTTTATTCACGTTCACCTTTAGCAGATTTGCACAACAATATCTATTCACCCTTTCAAGACCAGCGTTCATAGTATCAACACACTCATGCACATCATCACTACTAAAGTACAGTAGGGTGTCGTCGGCAAATAAGTGAATTTTACATTTTTCTGCTATGGTTACAATATCATTCAAATATATGAGGAATAACAATGGTCCCAATATAGACCCTTGGGGTACACCAATATCATTTTGCATTTTATCTGAATATACTTCATCTAGTTTCAACCTTTGCTTTCTATTGCTCAAATAATTCATGATCCAGTTTAGTGCTATTCCATCAATACCTACGCTTTCAATCTTTTTAATCAGTCTGCCTCTATATCTACAGTTTCGAATGCCCTTTGCAGGTCAAGAAATACTGCAATAGTATACTGATTCTTTTCCGCACTTTTCTTCCAATCTGTTAAAACACATTGTAACGCCGTTTCACAACTATGTTTGCTCCAAAAACCCGATTGATACTCACATAGGACCCTATTACTCTCCAAATAATCCACTATCTGCTTATATACAGCACTTTCCAAAACTTTAGCTGTAGCATTAATCATGTTTATTGGCATTGATTGAATAGCTTGGTTTGTATTTGGCACTTTTGGTATAGGTATAATAGTAGGTAATTTTAATTCAGTTGGTACCTCACCTCTCTCTAAAGAACTGTTGATAATGTTCAACAATGGATTACAAATGGCATTGAAACACTTTTTCAGAAGTTCTACACAAATCTCATCGGGAATATTTTTATTTTTCGAAGCACCAATAATTCTTTCTAGATCTACCTTATTAATGAGACCAAAGTTTGACAATTTATTATGAGTTATTCTTTCAGTTATATATATATGTATATGTACAGTGTGATTTCATAACGTGGTGGATTAAGATAGTTCTTTGATTATTACAATATAGAATCCTTCTGGAGCGAAGTTTCATCTACATTTTAGATGTTCGAATACATTTATTTGAGAATGAAGGAAGGCAAAAATCAACTGATATGAACTTCAACCCATTTAAATATACTAGATCAGAACAAAAAATGTGATCGATTGAAATGAAACGAAATAGATGGAGTCAAAAGTTCACAGCAAGATTCTGAGCAACTATACTATACTTGGTCCAGATAGTACCTTAATATTCTATGGCAACGTATTCTCACTCACCTTCTCTCCCCATCCTCTCTAGGTACGCATGATGTTCTTCGAACAATATAGGGATCCCCTTTTGTGCGCTCCGAAAGATGAAAACTATTATAAGAACTTATAGTCCTGAAATAAGTCATATGCTTGAAGTGAAGCATATTTTGAATGAAATTCACTCCTGGCAATGAGTCTAAGGTTGTAATTTCTACCTCCTTCGTGCTTATAGCTATAAAATTAAAGTTAATTAATAATTTTTTCGAGTGATCTCCACACACGATGTGTGTTTTGTGTAACCATGTGCAACAAAGAGTACAGGATGTATGTGGCTTCATATATTGTGTAAAATTAGAAAGCATATTAAAGCATACTTCTTTCTCTTCATATTTTTATGAACTATATATTTCTACAAACCCATGTTTAGTGTAACTGTGACTTATCATAGAGAACTACCTAATTAAATTCCAGTGTTTCTATTCGAATAACCTGAATGTGTAGTGATGTTGATGGTGATGAAGGTAATTAATGGCTTTCAGAAGATTCTTCAAATGGTATTAGATCAGAATTTTATTATTATGGTTTTGGTTTGCGTATCTTCATCTACATCAGAGTTCGATAAAAATTATGTCTTATCGTCTTCTCATCTGAAATTAATTTTGTTATTTATCTCAGAGCAAATATGGACCAGTTAAAGATACCTAACGAAATTGGGTACGAAAAACGAAGAAAAATGTTATAAATTTCATGAAAAAAAAAATGGTCGAAATTTTGCCCTATAGGAACAAAAATATGTAGGTACAGTGCTTCCGTAAAATACTGAATAAATTCATGTTTAGTCAAACTATCCATTGCTGAGGAATCTCCTAAGACAGGTTGATTTCAATCTCAATTTTCCACATTTATAAGGGGAAATTAAATATACAGGGTGGTCCACGTTTGAGCTGTGACGTTCGCTACAATTTTCTCAGATGAAAGACGCTAATATTACTCAATTTTTAGAATCCGTCCTTTGAATTCAGTGCTCTCATAAAATGGGTTTGCGATTGAAAAAATACCGATGACGTCATTTCTCCTACACGAATCATTATGGAATGTGTTAACTGAGTTTGAAAAAATGTCCAAATGAGAAAAGAATTTGATTGTGAGTGTTTTTTCCAAAAATTATTTTTTCACTTCTTCACGTATTTTCCACTACCTATTTCACGAGAGCACTGAATTTAACTGACGCACTGCATACAAACCTTTGTGTGATATATCCTTGAACTAGCTTTCCATGAAAATTCCAAGAATTGAATAATATTCAGAGTATTCCGATTGAAAAAAGGTTTGCAGGTGTCATCACTCAAACGTGTATATACAGGGTGTTTCAAAATTCAGTATCAAGATTTCAGGGGCGTATTGTTCAGGTCGAAATAAGACGTTTTTGTCCATAAACATGTGTCCGCAAACGCTTCGTTACCGATCTACAGAGCGTTAAAGTTTCAAGATTTTTTTTATTTTTTTCTTCATAGCTCTTTCAATTTTTGAGATATTAAGATCAAATTTGGAATGTAGGTTACGTTCTAGGGCTTATATCATCCAGCATGCCGAGTGATTGTGAGAATCTACAGGGAGATATTTTTTTCAGGGGTCAAGCCCTTTTTTACCCCATAAACTTTTTTGTGGTGCGCCGCTGGTGAATTCTGAGATACGAAATGAATTTTTTGTTTTGTTTATAAATTTTTTTGTCTCTTGTAATTTTCCCGCATCTGCGATCGTTATCGAGAAAAAAGTAAAATCAATTTTTGTGATTCGCTATACATTTAATTAAAATTTTCAACGGAACAATGAAAAAGCGAATTAGTGGGCTTTGACTGCTATTTTCATTTTGACGTTTAGGTTTGTTTTGAAGCATTTGACATTATTTGAAAGTTGGTGGATGTCTCATCGTGTATTTGTTTAACTTTAACGCTCTGTAGATCGGTAACGAAGCGTTTGCGGACACATGTTTATGGACAAAAACGTCTTATTTTGACCTGAAAAATACGCCCCTAAAATCTTGATACTGAATTTTGAAACACCCTGTATATTCTATTTGTCTTTATATGAATGTGGCGAATTGAGATTGAAATAGTATATTGTTCAACGATCACGGAATGATAGTGATTTCCTACGAGAATGAAGTTCGCAGCATGAGCCATACACGAAAAAAAAAAGATTTGTTGCATCTACAAATTATTTATGCTTGAGTTATTTTTGTTGGACTGAGCAATTTTTTGTTGAATCAACCAGATACATGATTATTCCATGGAAGCAGCTTGTTCAAATCAAGAATGTAGGCTAATTAAATCAACAGTATAATATCAATTCCATAACAAAATATATGGTTCCTTTAAAAACAAATTATGTCGATCCAAAATAATGTCGATGTTGATCCAACTATAAACATTTCGTTGATTTGATCAAACAATGATCATTTTGATGAGATTATATCTTTGGAACAACATACTAGTTTTCTTATTCCGATGTAGCAATAAACTCGTTTCGAACGGATCATTTGCTTGAATAGAGCAACGAAATATGTAAAATCAATTGAATATTTTGTTCATTCTACATCAACCTAAATTTTTGCCCCTAGATGGCGATCATTTCGCCTCGTCTATGCCTGCCTCGAATTCATTATATACGTGAAGCCTGATTCTTCGTGTTTGAAATATCATCTAGATAATTCGAAATAGTTTTCCATCAGCTGAGGAGAAGTAAAGACTTGGGATCTATGCTGGGAGTCGACTAGTTTCCTAGTTTTGTTCATTCTATTGATGTGAAATTTCAGAAAATTTCCGAATATTGAATTTGGTTCAATAAAACAATTTTTCGAATGGATATATAGTTTCTTTTGAATCAACAAATTATTTCATTGAATTAACCAGATATTAAATTGAATCAACAGAATATTTTATTGATTCGACCAAATATTTCTTTGAATCAACCAAATATTTAGTTGAATCAACCAAATATTTAGTTGAATCAACTAAATATTTGATTGAATCAATATCTTGTTATTTTCAATCAAAACAAAATGACTGTTTGAGCCAATTCAATATCTCTTCATAAACAATTCATGGATGTGCTTGATCGAAGAGATCCAGAGTTCATGCAAGACATATTTACTTGATTCAAACTTCAAATTCGCTCTGAAACAAGATATAGATCTACTCATTCCAAGATTATATTTTGTCGTGCATATATGACACTTTAATTTGCTCCCTTCAATTGAATTATGCTTGATTCAACAATTCCTTTTTTTCCGTGTAGGCGAATTCTCCAATCATTCGAGTTGGAAATCAGCATTCCGTGCAAATTATACACTATAATTTTTCTACGGCTATAATAGATAACAGCGGCATTTTCGATTCCTTCGTCTTGTAGCCACCTGTTTTCCTGTCAAGAAATGCTCATCTATTAGACAGAACTGTCATTGCTTTACATTTGACATTCCATGAGCGATAAGATTTTTTTGAAATATCAACACAATGGATAGTCATTGTGATATCAGATACGGAAATAATATTGATGACACAGGAAGTACCTCATTGACGTATCGAACACAGGAAAACAAGAGCAATTTTGTGTTATTCGCGAGATTCACGAAGTGGGCGACATCTAGGTTACATAATACGAACTTCAAACTGGGGGAAAACAAACTGTTTTCTATGGATGAAGTGCATAGACTACATTGCATTCAGCTTGCTGTAGCTGTAGTCAAACTTGTCAATGACATAAGGTGTTGGCACTGTTGGTAATGATGATGGTTGAGTTGGTTAATTTTTCTACATCATTATTTTATTATTTGGAGAATAGTGAACGGGTGACGAATTGGAGATGCTTCAAACAATTCAAACCAATTATGACGAGCAAATCAATTGACATATAAAAGAACAGCTACAACATGTTTACGATACCCAGATTGTCCTGCTTTGCATGAACAAATACAAACCAATTGTTCTACAGGAGTTCCTCTGGACCCCAACTTCAATTTTACTTCATGTGGGGAAGATTTCATCGCCGAAGTTTGTAGACAAAGTACAAAACTGTGCTTTTCGTTGAAGTCTTCTGCCTCACACAAAATCACATGATCAGCACGGAGAACTGCTCCTCCTTCCACTACTTGTCGGCTTTTTCCATCTAAATAGAGCAAAATATCTGCCAAAAGAACATCTACAACCAGGCATTATTAGCGTTTTCGATCGAATATTGACAACTAATGTCAAGAAATTCAAAAATTCATCACTCTTATCAGTACACACTACACAAGCTAATGGCACTCATGGGATTGAGTGAGAATTGAGTTTGTTTTCCAAGCGCCACCTGGTAACATTGATTCCCGCGAATAGTCGTAGAAAAATCAACATGTTTCAGTAGATTCGTCAGAAATCAATACTTCTTGAAAGCACTGTAAGTAAGCCTGGATATGAATACCATGTATATTGGTTATTGGAAATTTTCATAAAAATATGATATTTTGAAATGATTGAGTAATGGTTGATGCAAAATTTTGTGAGTTTCACTAGTTTACCTTCTGATCACATACTTTCAGAGTTTGTGGAAAAAACTTTCGAACACACTCTATATTATTTTTGATACCTTCCTGCATATACTTCTTGTCTCTATGTCAACTTGATATAATTTCTAAGGATCGAATTTTGAATTGGTAATATCAATCAATCTGTCAACAGTAAAAACACAAGAGCTTTTCTTTATCGGATAAATTTCTCTTGATAACGAAAGACATTTGCCGATCAGTAATTCTACGAGAAAAACTGAAGGTGGAGCAATTTTGTCTAATGCCAGTTTTTCGAGAGGAATAACTGATGGAAAATGTTTGAGTTACTAAGGAAATTTATCCAATTGAAAAAAAAAGTCCGAGTGTTTTTTGGGTAGATGAATCAAACGACAATATACAACTAAACAACAATAATGATCACCTTTATTGATGATTCCGTGTAACTGGTAGTATGCGCGGAATAGATTTTGTCATATTTTCGTGATCTCTTCAGACGGAATTTTCCTAAAACGGCTCATCTTGCCAATTTTCGCGGAAACCATACCCATCAATCAAACTTGACACGACAGAAATTGGAGTGATATCAGGCGCAAATAGCTCTTAGATCAAAGGAGCAGGCAATTTATCAGCTATAAAAAAGGTGCATCCTCTTTTATCGATGTCAAAATGACTCACGTCGTCGTCAATAGTTATTTATTATACAAGGGAAAAAAGTAGTAGATTTCAGCTCCAGGTTGTGGAGCTAAAATCTAATATTTTTCCCGTGTATCACACTATTTTTTTCTGTGACAGAAGGAAAGACGAATCAATATTGAGTAGATATTACATTATTTTGAAATCTGAAAATTATCGACGTGAAATTTTAAGTTTTTAACAGTAGGGATACCTGCGTTGTAGACATCATTATCATTCTCTCGAAGTAATCAAATATCTGATGTCACTTCTATCAGTCTAATTCTGTGATTTGATTTCGAAAAATTGCGAATTTAGTGGTTGTTTAGTAATATACGTAACCGAGAAGTCGAATGGAAGATAAAGGGACTTACAGTTCTCTCTCGGAGACGGTATTATTGACTCATTTTTCGGAACTAGAGCACAACAAAAGCCATCAACAGTGTATATATATATATGATATATATCCGGGACGAAAGTATTCACTTTTTTTCAACGGGAAAAAAGTAATTTATGAAAAGTGACATTTTATAACCTGCCAACAGAGATAAAAGGGCAAACTTTTTTCCCGTCACAGAAAAAATTGCCTTTTTCGTGTAGGAAATGATTTATCGTTACTAAACATTCCTATATTGAGAAATCATTCACATTTTTATTCATAGAATCTATGAAGAAAAAGTTACAATTTTGAAGTTGATTAAACACTAAAAATGAGGATTTCTTCAATTCAACAACCTGTAAGTTTTCTGATGAGTAGGATAAAAAACAAAAATGTCAATTTCTGCTCGTAGCAGAACCTCTACTACTTAATTTTAGAGATGAAATGATAAAAAAATTCCATTTCATGTGGATACGACGATATACTCGCGTTGCTATGGTTTAATATTCACTCTTTTTCATAGTATAGTAGGCCTTGCAAAAGTAATTTCTGTTCTCCGTCTATAACCGAAAACGTTATCAATTCGGTCAATCAAAATGGAACTAAAGGAAGGAATACCAAAGAAACGTGTATAAGTTATTTTTGAATTGTGAGAACATAACTTTCAATACACGCTTCTTCTTCTGTATAAATCATTCTCACATATTTATGGTGTCAATGGACTCATGAAAAGAAAGTGAAATCTGTCCACTTATGCAGTAATTACATCAAGATTATAAACAATGAAGCTATATATCCATTTCCGAACCCATGTGAACATTCTGCATAATGTATAATCGAACAATAACTCTTACGTAAAATTTCAAAATCAAGACACCACAAAACCAGTTGAACTTGATTCGTACATTCAATATAGCACCTTCCAAAGTGTAACATTCACGTTCCCAAGCTGTTACCTACGAAAGCGCTGAACGGACATGATACTTTTTTTTTTATAATTGCCAGTTTGAACTGGCATTTAGCTATAATTGCCAGTTTGAACTGGCAATTAGCCATAATTGCCAGTTTGATCTGGCAATTAGCCATAATTGCCAGTTTGAACTGGCAATTAGCCATAATTGCCAGTTTGAACTGGCATTTAGCTATAATTGCCAGTTTGAACTGGCAATTAGCCATAATTGCCAGTTTGATCTGGCAATTAGCCATAATTGCCAGTTTGAACTGGCATTTAGCTATAATTGCCAGTTTGAACTGGCATTTAGCTATAATTGCCAGTTTGAACTGGCAATTAGCCATAATTGCCAGTTTGATCTGGCAATTAGCCATAATTGCCAGTTTGAACTGGCAATTAGCCATAATTGCCAGTTTGAACTGGCAATTAGCCATAATTGCCAGTTTGAACTGGCATTTAGCTATAATTGCCAGTTTGAACTGGCATTTAGCTATAATTGCCAGTTTGAACTGGCATTTAGTGCTTGGCTAATTGCCAGTTCAAACTGGCAATTATAGCTAAATGCCAGTTCAAACTGGCAATTATGGCTAAATGCCAGTTTAAACTGGCAATTATGGCTAATTGCCAGTTCAAACTGGCAATTATAGCTAATTGTCAGATCAAACTGGCAATTATGGCTAAATGCCATTTTAAACTGGCAATTATGGCTAATTGCCAGATCAAACTGGCAATTATGGCTAAATGCCAGTTTAAACTGACAATTATGGCTAATTGCCAGTTCAAACTGGCAATTATAGCTAATTGCCAGATCAAACTGGCAATTATGGCTAAATGCCAGTTTAAACTGGCAATTATGGCTAATTGCCAGTTCAAACTGGCAATTATAGCTAATTGCCAGATCAAACTGGCAATTATGGCTAAATGCCAGTTTAAACTGGCAATTATAAGAAAAAAAGTATCATGTCCGTTCAGCGCTTTCGTAGTTACCCGAATCATAAAAAAATTTGAACGGTAACGTCTGATTATCTCTGAACATCTCATATCTGCAATCTGGTTCTAGTTCTAGTTCTAGTTAAAATTCCATCAGTTCGGATGATCCTCATTGTGTTTTTTGCATTGCAGTTTGGAGGTGCTCAAGATGGACACCTCGGTGAAAAACAAGGAAAAACGGAAAGAGTGGACGTGGAAACAGCAGACGGATTTGATCAAGTGGCAGGGGACCCCTATCGATGGTCCTCTACTGCGGATGGAGGATCCTGAGCTGGCGCCCCTGGCAGTGGAGTGTTTCGAGTGTATTTTGAGATATTGCGGGGATATGCCTTTGACACCTGATATGTCCGAAGTGAAGTGCGTTTATACCGTTTTGATGGTAAGCTACCCTTGATTCATCCAAGTTGAAACTATATACTTGATCTCAAATAAAATAGATACAAATAGTAGATTGTTTTATTAGGATCAAAAGTGACACTTTGTTTGACAAGCGAATTTTGCATTTGCGAGGCGGAGCGTTTAGCGAAGCCGAGCGAAAGCAAAATTTGCGAGTCGAACAAAGTCACTTTTGATCCGAATGAAACATGCTATTTTTTCTGCAACCGAAACAATTAACTCCAATAAACATGTGAAGTAACCACCAATGCCGTGCCATATGCATGCAATGCAACAAATATTGACAAATAATCCGTGTGGTGACAATATTTTACCTGCATTAACAGCAGGTTAGGTTTTCAAGGATGTTCGGATTATAGTTTCAATATAAATACAACCACAGAGTGACATATTTGTGTATGGACCAGGTGCTCTAATGGCAAAATATCGCGCCAGTGCCAGCTATAGGATCAAGACGTGGAAAATGTTAGGTTAGTGAGCATATCAACAATGATTATAGTGATTATTTATTCCTTTCCATACTACACTGTGTTCGACTTGATAATAATCAAATGAAGCTGAACAATATCGTTGTTTGAGACAAAAAAACTATTGCTTGCCGTGATTATTCAAAAACAAGTTATCCATCCCGAGAATAACGAATGAAATACAGATCAAGCAAGTATCTGAATCTTGAAGGCTTCCCTGATCAAAACAAAAATACTTAACTGATATGTTTATAATTCCAATACTAAACTATAAGAAGGTGTATTTATATCTCCAGCATGGGTATGAAATGCCAAATCTGCTGAAATCGGAAACAAATCAGGTATGTGTCACAACCCAAATAACCAATCGTCACAATGTTGTTTATTCTTGATGACGTCCACTACATCCTTTTTAGTTCCTAGGAGCTAAAGTTCAACTTTAGCTCCTAGGAACTAAAATTCAACTTTAGCTCCTAGGAACTAAATATGTTGCCTAGCAACAAACCTATTTTTGTGTCAGTAATAGAAACGTCAATTTAAGAGCTAATTTTGGTATCAAAATGGACGGACTTTTGTGTCGGTTGCAGAAAAACTCGTTTATTTCAGTCAAATATGAGCATTTTGGCTTTTTTGTAGCTTTTCTATGTTAAGTGTATACAGGGTGTTATCCAAATTAATACATTCAATTTGAAATCTCATAAGGTTCGAGATGTGAGTACTATACAGGGTGTTTAAAAATTCGTTATCAACATTTCAGAGGCTCATTTAACAGATCAAAATAACACTTTTCGTTACCGATTGCAGAGCTATAGAATTTCAAGATTTTTTTCCTTTATAGCTCTCTTTGTTTTCGAGATATTCAGATCGAATTTGAAACTCGGATCACGTTTCATGGGTTCACATCATACAGTATGTCACGTGATCGTGAGAATCTACAGGGCGATATTTTTTGAGGGGTCATCCCCTATTTTTCCTTATACGTCTTTGTGGGGCGACAGTAGGTTTTGAAATACGAAATGAGTTCTTTGTTTTGTTTATGAATTTTTTTGTCTGTTGTGATGGTGAAGCAGCTACGACCGTAATCGAGAAAATCATTTTTTTTTCATTGATTGATTTGATGATTGCCTTTATTAAGACAGGAAACATAATAATTTATGAATAACGCCGAAAAAAATCAGGGGGTGATTCCTCGTGATATTCTAGCGACTAAAGTTCATATAAACATGTGTCCTAACTCCGTTTTTGAGATACAAGATGTTGGAGTTGGAAGTAGTAATTGTTTTCATTTTCAACCCACCTGTATATAAGCTTTCATGGTGCAAAAATTCAGTATGGTTAACGACTGAGAAAGCCCCAAAATCTCGAAATGATTGTAATTGGGATGGAATGGAAGTCTTGAAAACACTCACATCAAATTTGGAGTCAAATCGAATTTTCATTGATTCCTCAAAAAATAAGCTAGATACAAAAATTACACAGGTGATAAAAAAGTTGTTATTTGAATAGTTCAATCTAATAAGAATATGAAACTCACAAACACCGATGGAGTACAATGACATTCATCATGAAATCCCACGAAATCCCACTGTGACGTCACTGATAATATTATTTTGAATCTAATTGCACCCAAAGAATCTCCATATTACTATTGACGGAACAACAACGTTTTATTGGAATTATTGTATCTCGATAATGGAGCAAGTTAGGACACATCTTCATATGAACTTTATTTCCTAAAATATCACAAGAAATCATCCCTTGAATTTTTTCGGTGATATTTAGATACACCCTGTATATTATAATGAATCGCAACTGTGATAGTTGCACAACTATTGTTTTTCATTATTATATTATATCATATTATGACCCATTCCAAGTAATAAAATTACATTTTTTCAACAAAATGGAGGACATTATCAATGAAAGACAAAACGCTACGTATTCAATTTGTGATTCACGTATACACGTTTCCAAACCTGAATCAGAGAATAAGAAATCTAACAAACCATCACTTTCCATAAGAGCTGCTGGAAAACGAATAAGATCTTGAAACTTCAACACTCTGTAGATTGGTAATGGTAAGGGTCTACGAACACATATAGGACGAAAAAAGCTTATTTTGAGCTGAATAATAAGTCTCTAATATCCTGATACCTGATAATCTGTGAAAAAATTATCAGGACCGTATTAAAAAAACAAAAGTTGATGATGGTTCTACGGATACGAAACGTCGCATACAAAAATCGGTATAACCACGTTAAACGTCATTAAGAGTTGCTATAAGAAAATAATTTCAGTTTTTCCGTGTCTAATAATAACGGAGAAAAAAAAAACAGATATTCCAATAATTCACTTTTTTCGATATAACTAAAAAACTAAAAATAATTTTAAAAATTTTCGAAGGCTCTTGATATTAGCCTCCGAATGCGCAACTTTTTCCCCATTTAACCGACTTCGTATCTCCTACCGTTTTCGAGATCCCCATGCTGTTCAACCTTATCTTGGACAGACTGTATATGGCCCTGCTTCATTACATAGTGACTCATTTCGCTTATAACGTATTCGAAATTCTTGCCCAAGGTTTTCATACGGAGTACGATAATATGATCACATATCTGCTAAGATGCATGACTATATGGATGGTTACGGATAGAACAATCAAGGTATTTGCATTTGTTCACTCAGTTCTGAAAACCGGCAAACCTATTTATCTCCACAGAAGACTACAAACTTTCTCAGATATCAACCGAATTTCCAGTCGCAATAGAACAACTCGTGTTATCTCAAAACATAACTCATCTTCTTCAAACTCAGTTTCTCTCATACAGCTAGCAAATATTATTATTTCACTTCCCATGGAATTTACATCTTTCACTCACAGTAATTTTTTCTTTCAGCCAGGTATGTCTTATTATAATCAAAAATTTAGCAATGCCTTCTCGACAATCCTAAGATAATTCGATTCTCAATATTATCCAATTTTCGAATGATTGCAGCATTCGCCTATGGCTCATGCTTCAAACATCATTCTCGTAGGAAATCACTATCATTCCGTGCTACTTACACAATATACTATTGTTTGATTATTTTTTGTGCCAAACTCACATGTCACATGAGGAGGTACCCACAGAGTTGAAGTAGCAATCAGTCAGTTTGCACTATGGTGTGAAATCAACCATCTTGTAGTCAACCTGAAGAAAACCAGTTACATGGAATTCACAGGAAAATACAAATCACCTACCATTGATCCAAGTAAACCATTTGGTAATACAAATATACAGGCTGTCAACTCTTTCAATTTTCTGGGCACGCTTGTTGATTCAAAATTATCTTGGAATGATCAAATAAACCACCTTTGTAAAAAGCTCCAAAAAACTTATTTTGCCATATTCTCTCTCAAAAAATATCTCAATGTTCAATGTCTGATTAACGTCTACTATGCTCTAGCGTTCTCAACAATAAGTTATTATATAATTTCTTGGGGACAAGCCACAGAAATAAGCAGAGTATTTACTCTACAAAAACGCATTATTCGTCTCATTTTCAACTTACAGTATCAAGATTCCTGTAGAAATCACTTCAAAAAACGTCGAATATTAACAGTGGTCAGCATTTACATATTGAAATTATTGTATCACATCTATAAAAGCAAATACCATCTAAAGAAATGTTCAGAAATTCACAAATACACCACTAGAAATCACAATCATATTTATATGGAAAAGTTTCATCATATGGAGTACAAAAAATCTCCGAAATATAGCGGGAGTCATCTCTACAACTTACTGCCTGAATCAATAAAAAATCAATCTCTGAAGAGATTCAAGACTGATCTTAAAAACTCTAACCTGTTTCTGAATTTCAAATGCATTTAACATCCATGAAATGATTACCACCTATCTGTGCATTTTTTTAACTTAACGTTACATAACTAACTACATTATATTCTGCATCTGTCGCTAACTAGCCTGAAATGTATATATCTTTTGAATGTTATATGTTTTCTCGAATAACTTATGTATTGTGTTTCATAAAATGTAACTGACGAACCTACATGCACATGGCAAAAGGGTAATAAATGTTCTATTCTATTCTATTCTATTTTTTTTCTGCAAATGGAAACGATTTATTATCATCATTATTCACATTATGATTATTATTATAGTAGCTCAATCTCTCAGTTGTTCACAAATCAATATAGGATGATTCGACATAATTTTGAAGTCGAAAAATTCATAGTGTAATTTCATGCAGCTTCTCCCAAGGAGAAGGAAAAAATATCCGGAAATGTGTTTAGTTGCTATGGTAACGATAAAAAATACAGCCTTTGAATTGGTCGAATATGTTTGGTGTGAAATTTTCAATGTTATATTTCCAGCACTGCCACAAATTCCCGCACCTGCGCGACGAAGTTTACTGCCAGCTCATGAAGCAGACCACCAGCAACAAGTCCGAGCACCCGGAGTCCTGTCAGCGCGCCTGGCGCCTGCTTTCCATCGTCGCCGCCTACTTCGCCTGCTCCGACGCCCTGCTGCCCTTCCTCGGCGAGCACCTGACCGGCGCCGCCGACGACAGGCGTCGCGTGTGTCACGGCACCGCCGCCGTGTGTCTGGCGAATTTGCGGAAGACGCAGAGATGCGGGGGCAGGAAGAACGTGCCCTCGGTGGAGGAGGTGACTGCTGTGAGTGCTGGAAGAAGTGCCCGGAGGCAGATTTACAGGTTTGTTTGGCACTTTTGTCTTGGTGAAGGTGGTTTCAGATTCACCGCTATAGCAGTTGCTGTCCATTATTGTTGTTGTTCTTCATTACCCCAAGAAACATATTTGTTTATAATAGGGATACATAAATATATGATATGATGATATATAACAATAAAAAAAAAATTAACAAGTTATGTCAATATAACATAATAATTAAAATAAAAATTGCTCCGTTTATTGTGTCATGAGAGAGTCATGAGTATATATTTTTTCATATTGACTTTGAATCTTGTTTGATCATCAATATGTTTCAAATCATAAGGTAATGAATTATATAAAATGATTCCGTTGTAGAATACTGATTGTTTGCCGATGATGGAGTGATATGGGTTTACTATTAATGAATTCAACTGTCTCGTTGCATGAGTATGAATTGTATTTACTTCAGTAAAGTTCAAGTTGGATATTTTTATTTTTTTTCCCACAAAATGGATGAAAGAACAAATTTTCATTTTATATAAAGATGATAAATTCAACAGATTTTCTGGTTTGTAAAGATTAATAGTTGGTTCCAGGTAATGTAAATTGTAAATGCACTTAATTGTTTTATTTTGTAATTTCATTAATGGTTTCAAATGTGATATACTTGTGCTTCCCCGAATTGATATTAAATATTGTAATTTTGAGTAAATCAGACAGAAATATATATTCTTCAAATATCTGAGAGGAATGAAATTTCGAATTTTGTATAAAATGCCAGTAATTGGATTGATCTTTTTTTCTCAGGTGATCTATATGTTTAGTCCACGATAATTGTTCATCAATATAAAGACCTAAGAATTTTGTAATATCTGAATATTTTATGGCTTTCTGGTTGAAAAATATTGTTGTTTTCGACATATCAGTTTTTCTTTTTGAAATATACATATACGTAGATTTGTCATAGTTAAGGGTCAGCTTATGAATTTGTAGCCAAGATGATATCATTTTCAAGTCACTTTTTATATCATCAACTATATCGTTAAATTCTTTAGAGGAATAGATTATTGTAGTATCATCTGCAAATAACTTCAGATCTCCTTTTAGTTTCGAGGATGATATTGAATTGATGTAAATTGAGAATAAAATTGGACCTAAAACGGAACCTTGTGGTACACCATATTAGATTTCTCTTACGGAGCTACAAATATTATTGACTTCAACATACTGCTTTCTATTTTCCAGATAATTTTTTAACCAATCAAATATTTTTCCTCTGATACCTATTGAATATATTTTACTCAGTAAAATTTCATGATTTACAGTATCGAAAGCTTTACATAAATCTAAAGACAAGAGACCACATTCATAATTTTGATCAATTTTAAACTGAATATCCGAAATTACATCCATAACTGCTACCTCAGTGTCTTTCGATCGGCGAAATCCATATTGACCACTGTATAGCAGACCATTATTTTCAAGAAAATCAAGAATGCGCTTATTCATCATTTTTTCAATAATTTTTTAGAGGATCGGGAGAACTGAAATCAGTCTGTAGTTATTAAGGTCATCTCTTTTTCCAGATTTATGTATCGGTATGACTTTAGCAATTTTCATTTTATCTGGTACAATTCCAGTTTTGAAAGATATAGTAAAATACGTGTTCAACCTTGTTCGAATTTCATGGAACTACTTATTCCATAGCAGAAGAAGTCGTTTTTTTTCTGGAGGTCGAAATCCTTTATAGGCATCACGAAGGACCATTCCCTTCATGGTACTGTGAGAATCCATACATGTTGGTAGGTGTACTCACTAAACACGCCACTTCCTTTCAAGGCTCGTCTGATCGAAGTCTCCGATGACACTTAGGTCTGTTAGACCATTGTAACATTGTACCTCGAATATGCCGCCTTGATTTACTGATATACTGCTATAGCAGTTGCTGTCCATTATGTTCAAGATACGTTCTCAACCTTGTGTGGAATCTAAACACTACTATACTGCCATAGCATAGAAGGCCGCTTTCAATTTACAGCTACACCACCTAGCAGTTGCTGTCCATTGTGCGAATACCACAGAGTACTAATGTCATAGCAGAAACCCCTTCGATTTACTGCTATGAAAGTTGCTGTCCATTATGTTCAAAATACATTCTCAACCTTGTGTGGAATCCAAAGTCTACTACTGCCCTAAGATAGGAGGCCGCTTCAATTTACTGCTATACCTAGCAGTTGCTGTTCATTATGTTCAAAATACATTCTTCAACTTCCTAGATCGACAATAATCGTTAGCTCCTTCATCTGGGGAAAAAAATTCAATTTACTCTTACGGTTGAGTGCCCGGAGGCAGATTTACAGGTATGTTCTTCACGTCTGCGATGTTTACTGCTATGGCAGAAGAACACGCCTTGGATTCATTGCTATAACAGTTGCTTTTCAGTTTGTTTGAGATACGTTTTCGACCTTGTGCAAATTCCACAGGCTCCCGGTGAACCACCGTGGTAGCGAACATCTTCGTCACTGTGATGTTTCGGGAACTGCTATACTGATTCGGATAATATTTCAACTTAGTGATGAAGAGATCTACTGAATAATGTGGGTACTTCACTTCACTACTATAGCAGTCATGACTCAGTTCAACAACTTTGTCTCATCAAGGGTATATACTACTACTTCAGCAGTTTCTGCTATAGCAGATAAGGTTCTAGAATTGCTGCTATAGCAGTTGTTATCCTGAAACTTTTACCATACTTGTCAGGCTAGCTGGTGGTACCAAGAAAGTGGTGAACACCCGTTGCAGTACAATCGTGGCCGATGTCGTCGCCAGTTCAGCCTGTACTGTATCGTCTTCCTATTCATCTGAATAGAAGCGTATGAAACTATTTATTCTATCTATTTTCTGGAAATTATGAAGTGCGCTCTAGAAGACACCTTGATATCTCGGGATCTGCTCAATCGATTCTAATGATATTCCAACTGAGTGATGAAGAGGCCGAATAACAGTGTGAAAAGTAAAACATTTGAACTACTGTTATAGCAAAGACCCATTTCATCAAATTTGTCACAATAAGAGCATATTAAATGGTTTTATGTTCACTGCTACTGCTACAGCAGAAAAAATTACTACTACAGCAGTTTTCGTCCTAGACTTACTGCTCTAGCAGTTTTCATCTCAGAATTACCGCTGTAGGAGTTTTTATCCTAAAATTGCTGCTATATAAGTTGCTATCCTAAAACTTCCATCATACTTTTTAGGCTCCCTGGTGGTGTCAAGAGGGTGTTGAACACCTGTTACAGTACCGTCGTGGCAGATGTCGTCGAAAGTTCGGCTTGTACTGCATCGTCTTCCTATTCTTCTGAATAGAAGCCTATGAAACTATCTATTCTAACAATTTCCTGCGAATCATAAAGTGCACACTAGAAGACACCTTTATATTTCGGGATCTGCTCAACCGATTTCAATGTTATTCCAACTGAGTGAGGAAGAGGCCGAATAACAGTGTGAAGAGTGAATCATTTGAACTACTGTTATAGCAATGACCCATTTCATCAACTTTATCACAAAAAGGGCATTTAAGATGATCGAATGTTCACAGCTATAGCAGAAAATGTTACTGCTTTAGCAGTTTCTGCCCTGGAATTACTGTTATAGCCGTTATGTTGTTCTAAAATTGTTCTTAGTCATCATTCGGTTGCTCCCTAACGAGCAACCCTCAGAAGTCGTCAAGAGACTTGGGCAAGCTAGGAATGACGGGGGTCTTACCTTTTAACGTGTGATTCCAAACACCTTATCGTTCCAGAATTACTGCTATAGCAGTTTTCGTGTCAGTATCACCGCTGCATCAGTTCTGTTTTTATCCTAGAATTGCTGCAACAGCAGTTACTATCCTAAAGTTTCTTATACTATTTCTAGGCTACCTGGTGGTGCTGAGAGGGTGGTGAACACTCGTTGCAGTACCGTCGTGGCGGATGTCGTAGCCGAACTATGTGCCCTGATTGGCGTACCCGGCGAGACGGAGCGACAAGAGTTCAGCCTGTACTGCATCGTCGAAGGAGATGCTTTCACGATGCCCTTGGCTGCTGACGAGTACATCCTGGACGTGACCACGGAGCTGCACAAGGCGGCGCAGCCCTTCTATCTCATATTTTGCAGGTGAGAGTTTGACATTTCACCATTGACTATACTACCGACTTATTAGTATATCTAGAGTAAAACTGCATTTATCATGCGATGGTTTTTTTTTCGAAAACTTTTTTTGGTTTTAACGTATTTTTATCTGAAAAACACTATTTATCGAGATATTTCAAGAAAATATTCGAATTTCGCCTTCTTTTTCTCCTTGTGTAGGATGCATATACAGCTACTTGCTCTTCTTTGGACACTTTATATACTCATGATGTACTTCAATGACACAGTTTCATATAGAAAGTTCAACAGGGAATATTCCTTTCAATCAATAGTCAATCCAAATACGAGATGTCAAATGTCAACAGATTGCTTTTGGATGACATTACACACGCCATTATTTTAAATGATATATCCTTCCTTCTCTTCACTAAATATAGATAAATCACAAGAAAAATCATATTTCTAGCTGACTCATATAATAGAAAAAAGTGTGTCGTACATTGTGATATACAAGGTGATTCTAAAATAGGTGGTCAAACTTTGGGAGTATATAGAGTGAGTGAAATAATTACGAAAACCTCGGGAACATTTTTTTCTGAAGTGCCCCCCAAGAAAGATACAGCCCCTCAAAGGGGGGCCTCGGAGAATGATTTTGTACTATTATCGCCAACACCTTGTAAGATGAAAATCAAAAATTTTGTTTATCCACTAACTATTCAGTGCCGGTTCGAATGGAGTTAAAATCACCTCAAAATTAAATACAGGGGTGTGTCAAAACAGGGAGGTGGGGGGTAAAAATAACCCCAACTTTTTTGTTCATCGCAATTTCAGTTTTTTTACATGAAATTATGAAATCTCAGGGCTATCAACATAGAAAAGGAGCTCTTGTTGGATCTCGATAAACGGAACCATTAGCGAATAAAATTTATTTTTCCAAGATTTCATTTAAATTGAAATTTTGGTATGCACTTGAGTTTAATTATCTAGTTCAAATCTTGCAACTGAATTTTCACCTACTTCTAATCGTCTGATCAACTTGGAATCTGGCAGATGACAGTTGACAACGCGTTATGGACTTTTTGATAGAACAAAATATGGCGGCTCCAATGTGGCTGACCAGATTTGTGATTATGGTTTGATTCGATTCAAAATTGGTTTGTAAGGGTTTTTGGGGTTGGAAATTTTGTCAGAATTGATGAATTACCAATAGACGACGAGTTTCGTGATTATGGTCTGATCCTATTGAAAATACTAAAACGAAAAATATTGTTAAAAAGAAGCTTTTTTTAAATTTTATTCGCTAATAGTTAATTTTATCGAGATGCAACAAAAGCACCTTTTTCATGTAGATAGCCCTGAGATTTCATAATTTCATGTCAAAAAACTGAAATTGCAATGAACACAAAAGTTGATGGGGTTATTTTTACCCCCTACCTCCCTATTTTGAGACACCCCTGTATTTTATTTTGAGGTGATTTCAACTCCATTCGAACCGGCACTAAATAGTAAGCGGATAGACAAAATTTCAGATTTCCATTATACAAGGTGTTGGAGATAATAATACAAAATCATTCTCCGAGGCCCCCGTTTGAGGGGCTGTATCTTTCTTGGGGGTCACTTCAGAGAAAAATGTTACAGAGGTTTCCGTAATTATTTCACCCACTCTATATGCTCCCAAAATTTGACCACCTATTTTAGAATCACCTTGTATAAATTGTCTAATGATGAAGAAAGAAGGGCAAATTGTTCTAAATGCGATCCAGAAGTCAGACGGTAAAGAAGATGAAATTTGTAACTTTATAGTGAAATATCTTTGTTCACATTTTCATTATCGAATTCGTGTTTTTCAGACAAAAATACGTGAGTACCAAAAATATTTTTCGAAAAAAAAACCATCGCATGATAAATGCAGCTTTACCCTATCTAGAATGCTAATACTCATATCGCAGCAACCCGAGAATGTAGGGTCAGTTGCTCGCCTGAAAACGCTTCTGCTCAATACACAGAAACCGCCAAGCTGTCGTTCATGACTTTGACGTGGTATCGAAATCAAAATAGCATCTATATTGTTCATAGGCGGCGTTGGCTTAAGTGTTTTGTTTATGTCATCAGGGGTCAGCTTGATGAAAATAATATCAAAATTGAGTAGTGATATATATTAATTTTGTTGTTTCATTTTCGCCATTCCTAGGAAATATAGAGTGATTCGTTTTCTGGTGGGAGAATTTCACGATTAATAATACTGAATATGTTTCTTTCCATCGGTGAGTTTGTGGGTAATGAATAATTTATCATTTCAATTTGCCTTCATCAGTTGAGCTAGTATTTGAATCAAATGGGATCATGCATGTTTTGTATATTCATTCATCTATTTTAGACGATATTGGATTAGAATAAGTACTAATTCAATATCGATTCTAGATTATCTAAGAATAAGATAAATTAATGGTTTTGAAATATTATTAATCTCTCAACAGTAACATTTCGGTCATTTCAAACTCAACCAAGAACTCGAATATGATGCTTCCAATCGAGTTTGCTTCTGGGAAAATGAAGATGTTACCGCGACTACGATTTCCATCTTCATTTCTCCCAAAACGAACTCAACTTTAAGCAACATGTCCGAGTTCTTGGTTGGGTTTGAAATTATCAAAATGTCATTTTTTTAACGTCAATATATTGAAAACTATCGATTTTACAAGTGAAGTGTATGAGATAAAACTGTTGAGAATCATGAGAAAATTTCGAAAAATAACTCAAGATGGCGCTCATCCACTATTTTGAAACTTTGAGATGTAGTTTCTCCTTGTGAATGTAGGTTTCAGTCACCTTTTTGAGCCCATTGCGATAAAGCCAGGTGGTTCAAAAATCAGTACGTGGGGAATTGATTTTTGACGGGCACTGTATTGACCATCATTTTATATTGTCGATAGTTTCATTGAACTGCTTGACAAATGGAGTGGTCCCCCTGAATATTCCACCCAATTTTGAAAAATCTATATTTACGAAGTTTCCCATAATCGTATGGAATAATTTTCTGGGGAATATTATAATTATTGCTTGATATGTTTCGCGGGAAACCGTTTCAAGTTTCTCCACTAACAGGTACTTCATTTATTTATTTATTTCACTTTGTATCTGATTCACATATTATGTTAGTGACCCGTGTGTCTAAAAGCTAATTATCAATTCACACAATAATGAGAATAAATAAAAATAAAGAAAAATAAAGTTGTTTCAAAAAGATCATCGACTTCTTTTGCATTTTCAATAAGCCAACTTTCAACTTATTTTTCGAAAGTTATGATATTTAGACGTTTCAATTTTGACGATATTTTATTATAAATTTCAGATCCAATAAACCTAGAATGTTTATCTGAAATTCTGAGTTCATGTTCTTCAAGTCGATATCGTTTCTTGTATCATATATATGATCGATTTTATTTGTCATTGCCGAATTCTTCATAAAGATTATTGATGCCTTATGAAATAATTGCCTTACATCAAATATATAATTTTCTAATGATGATACTGATGAATGATCAAATGATTTACGGAATATCATTTCCAAAGCATATTTTCGAATAGATAATAAAGGTTTTAGATGAGTTTTCACACATATAATACCTCATCCAATTATTCCATATGATAAATGTCTACTGACAATATTATGCAAAAGTCTGAGTTTTGGAATGGTACTTCTGAGTTTCTTTGTTAGTTTTTAGACATGATATTTCCACTTCAAATTTTGATCAATGGATAAAGCAAGATATTTGATTGTATTCACTACAGATATTTCATTGGTACCTACATGAACAAATTACTGGTATTTTTGGTACATTTTCAGATCATGAATTTTCAATTCTGTTATACATATATTTTGGTTCTGAATCATTATAACAGGAAAAAGCCATAAATTTTGTTTCATTCGAATATAGGGTTGACAAGTCAAAAGCAAGATCATTCTTCACTATTTCTATAGCTTTGTCTGCATTAGATACAGCTTGTGACCAATATTTTCCATTAACAATTATCAATTCATCATCAGCGTATGAGAAAATATGTCCATCAATATCTGTTTTTAATATGTCATCAATATAAATGAGGAAAATAATTGGACCTAGAACAGTTCCTTGAGGAACACCACAAATAAGATGTGTTTTTTGGCTTGAAGAATCTCGTAATTTCGCGAATCATTCTCTTTTCAGTAAGTAACTCTTCAATAAGTCGAAACTCTTACCCCTACATATACGATTGGAAAATAATTGATTCATTTTTGATTTTGGGCTCTGCACATTTTTTTATGAGGAAATATTGTCTTCCTAATATTGATAATAAATAAGTTTTCCCACATGATGCCATCTCTTTTGAAACACCCTGTATATTTCTTTCGTTCCAGATCCGTTTGGTACTACCCCCTGAAACTCGACGCCAGCCCACTCTACACCGAGGTCCTCTTCAACCAAGTAGCCCCCGACTACCTGGAGGGCCTCCTCCTTCGCCTCGGCAGCCCCAACCTCCCTCCCAGTATCGTGAGGGACATGGCCCTCGTGGCGGCCCTCCTCCACCGCGCAGCAGACTTCGGCCACTCCCCCAACCTCAAGGAGGTCAAGTACCTCCTGCCGAAGCCCATCCTGGCCCTCAGGGAACCTCGTCCTCCTCAATGGTTAGCCCTGGTGCAGACCTCTTGGGGACAAGCGGCAGGGCTGGCGGTGTCCAGGGCTAAGCACAGGGTTTTGCAGGTTTTGAGCAACTGGTCGCTCTTCGGGAGCTCTTTCTTCGCTGTGAAGAGGGTTCTCGGCGAGAACGAGAACTGGCAGGAACATATCCTGGCGTTGAACAGGAACGGAGTGCATTTCCTGGACATGACTTCTCACGAAACCATTCATCATTGGCCTTTCGCTGAGGTTATTAGTACCAGGAAGGTGAGGTCGGAGGATGGGGCCTTGTTTTTGGACATGAAGTGTGGTAATTTGTTGCAACAGCGGGTGACTAGGTTGCAGACTGAACAGGCTCACGAGATTTCGAGGTTAGTTAGGCAATATATCAATTTGGAGCAGGAACATAGTACCAGGCATGTTCGTTGAGGGATGTTGGAGGGATTTTAGGCCCTTGTACATAATATGATATTTCAATGTCTTAGTCAGTTATTTTTATGTATGATAGGTACTTTATTTGTTATATAGTGTGTTCCCCACTCTGAGCAACACCACTCTTGTGATTTTCTATTTGTTGACCGAAGGTTTTTCGCTCAACTTGTACTCAATGTGCTCTACATTTCTGAAATCTCAATTCTCTTATCACAATATTAAACAGCCAACTATGACCAACTGTTGGTGTTAAAAATCAGTTGATAAGGGCTTTCATAGCGAAAACCGAATATTATCAGCGTGTTGTGAAGCATCTGAAACAATTTTACTGTGGAAAAAGTTCAAATCGGTCAAAGAATAATAAAATACAAGGGTGTTACTGTTCAGAAGTCTTATCTATTCTGAAAAATTAAACTCATATTACTCAACAGAATGTAGAAATTATTCAGAATATTTTATTTAATTTGTTAACATTGCAGTACAGGTTGGTTTATGAGAATCTTTATTTGAATTGTTCGGAATGGAGATGATAAGTAGCTGAGATTTGGTGGAAATCGTAGAAGCAGTCGAGTTTATGAGAGTTCTGTAATCGAAAACTGTTATTTTTTCATATCAAATGTGCTCTGAGACGCAAAAGGAATTTTCAAACAAGAACTGCCGATATGTTTTTATTATTTGTAACCGGATTATACAGATTTGACCTTGAAGTTTTTCTATTCGTGATCAAGAAAGTTTTTTGTAAGAAACCACGAAAAATTCCTGGATTTCACAAGTTTTCTATGCCAGTTCTTCATAGATTATAACGCATCATAACTTATTATTTTATGACATCCCATGATTCAGAAAGTGTAATGAATTTCCGCACATATTCACAGCTCACGTCTTTTTTGGAAGATGCAATATTACATACAATGGGGGACTTCGCTCCAAGTTGCCAACCTAAAAACCTCTACCACTGTAGAAGCAATATGGACTTCTACCAAAGATTAATATTATGGAAGTTTAATAATTCGAATAGCTTTGTTTTGGTGAAATCTGATTGTAGGAGTCAAGTCAGCTCTCTGATGAGAGTTATTTAGGAGAAAAATTTGTTTTTCTGCAACCGACACAAAAGTCGTCCATTTTGATACCAAAATTAGCTCTCGAATTGACGTTTCTATTACTGGCACAAAAATAGGTATGTTGCTAGGCAACACATTTAGTTCCTAGGAGCAAAAGTCGAAATTTAGTTCCTAGGAGCTAAAGTTGAACTTTAGCTCCTAGGAACTAAAAAGGATGTACTGGACGTCATCAAGAATAAACAACATTGTGATGGTTGATGGTTATTTGGGTTGAGACGCATACCTGATTTGTTTCCGATTTCAGCAGATTTGGCATTTCATACCCATGCTGGAGATATAAATACACCTTTTATTATAGTTCAGTATTGGAATTATAAACATCTCAGTTAAGTATTTTTGTTTTGATCAGGGAAGCCTTCAGGATTCAAATGCTTGCTTGATCTGTATTTCATTCGTTATTCTCGGGATGGATAACTTGTTTTTGAATAATCACGGCAAGCAATAGTATTTTTGTCTCAAACAACGATATTGTTTAGCTTCATTTGATTATCAAGTCAAACACAGTGTAGTATGGAGAGGAAGTAATAATCACTATTATCATTGTTGATATGCTCGCTAACCTAACATTTTCCACGTCTTGTTCCTATATAGCTGGCACTGGCGCGGTATTTGCCATTAGAGCACCTGCTGGTCCATACACAAATATGTCCCTCTGTGGTTGTTTTTATATTGAAACTACAATTCGAACATCCTAGAAAACCTAACCTGCTGTTAATGCAGGTAGGATATTCCCACCACATATGGATTATTTGTCAATATTTGTTGCATTGCATACATATGGCACGGCATTGGTGGTTACTTCACATGTTTATTTGAGTCAATTGTTTCGGTTGCAGAAAAAATAGCATGTCTCATTCGGATCAAAAGTGACTTTGTTCGACTCGCAAATTTTGCTTTCGCTCGGCTTCGCTAAACGCTCCGCCTCACAAATGCAAAATTCGCTCGTGTCACTTTCGATCCTAATAAAACAATCTACTATTTTGTGAACTTCAAATCTGACTGGTTGAAAATCGTATTTGTGCATCTGCGGTATGTCAATGTCAATACTTCCAATAGTGTCAGTAGTATCACGAGTATAAAATGATATATCAATGAATCACTATATCAGTAAGTTCAATCACGTTCGAGCTTCGTATAACTCTCATGAGAAACGTGCAAACCTATAATAAACTGGATGTGAGGGTTCCAAATTTTTCTGGTCTTGGGAGCTACTCTCGACTCGTCGTCATGCAGTAGGTAATCAACATAATATTGTTATTAGGTCTTTATATTCATTGTTTTTCATTTATATATCCTCACCACCCATAATATCTCATGCTATATTTTTAAATAAATATTGTGATATTCAAATAGTCTTTCAGCTACCATGGAACCATCTATGTCTTATTTATTTATATTGTTGTATTCCGACTTTGTGATATGTATCTCTAACACTGGAAACTTTGACCAGTTTTTATTCAAGGCGAGCCGTGTGAGATTTGAAAGTATTCATTGAATGATTTCTTTTCCTTATTGTTATTTATTTACTAGGACTGCAACGATCGAACTATTTGACCAAAGAATGATGAATGATAGTATTGTCCATAAATAAAATGATCTAATGAAATATTATGTAACAGAAATGTGACAAGTAATAAAATTGACGACGATATGACATATTTCAGAATGAAAGCAGGCATCATCATAATTTTCAACTAATCAGAACTGGAGTTCACAAAAATCAATTTTTCTTCTGAATAAGTTCTCTTAGTGAGCTGAGTAGACTCCTACAATCAGATTTCATCAAAATATAGCCAATTGAGTCATGAAACTTCCATAATGTTGCTTCGACATTGGTAGATGTTTTCAGGTTGGCAACTTGGAACAAAGTCCCCCATTGAAAAAATGCATCAAAACACTTTTTGTTGGTAAAGAACATTCATTTTCATATTTCTGATCAATTACTGTCACTATGGGAAATTCAGTGAGTGATTGAGTGAGTTATAAACAACTACATTGAGGAAGAGATTCAAGGTATATTTTGGAAGATTCTCCTGACTCGAGTAACTATCGTTTTCCATAGATCAACCTGTATATGATTCAAATATACCATTGTTATCTACTCTTATTCGTAATAGTCGAATTCCAAGGAAGGCTGCTTATCGTAACCAATAGACTCAGATTGAGCAGTTTGTAAATTAAACTGAGTCTATTGCTAGTAGTTGTTATTTTGATAATGTTTATTTGTACGTATACGAAAAATTTTGGTGTTTGTATTCATTCAGTAATATATTTTTATATCATTCACTTCGTTCTTCTTTCCTCAACCAGACTTCAATCATGATAAACAGTAAACGTAAAACTTTTATTCAAAAAAATATATAAAGTAGGAAAATCATTAACAAGAGAACACTTTTATTAAAAATATTTGGTGAAAACTGTGGTGCGGTGGAACTCTAAGTTCCCAACACACTTAGTGCACAAATCACCGAAATTTACTCTTTTTCGACAAGCTGCATTATGGGAATAATCTAAAAAATTCAACGTACACAGGGTGTGAAGTGGACACATACCATAAAATGGTCTAATTGAATAGAATGGCGACCATTGAATATGATTTCTGGCGGGAATTCGGTCGAAATGTTGAAGAAAACCAATTTTTAAATTGTCGACGTTTCGAAACTTTATTGTTTCATCTTCAGGACACTGAAGTAAAAACAAGAACATACATATTAAAATGATATTTCAAAATGAGGGGTTTTGATAAAAGCAAAATAATTTATGTAAAATAACAATCGTTGAAAATAAAACACTTCTCACACTTTACAGAAAACAACATTGATAGATATTTACATTTCAAACCCGGAAAGCCACCCTAAATGTAAGTATCTATCAATGTTATTTTCTGTAAAGTGTGAGACGTGTTCAATTTTCAACGATTGTTATTTTGCTTTTATCAAAACCCCTCATTTTAAAATATCATTTTAATATGTATGTTCTTGTTTTTACGTCAGTGTCCTGAAGGTGAAACAATAAAGTTTCGAAACGTCGACAATTTAAAAATTTGTTTTCTTCAACATTTCCACCGAATACCCGCCAACTCAACACCAGGAATAATGGTCTAAGTTTGCAATGCTATCTGGCCTCAGCAAAACATGTTCTGATGAATACGAAATATTGGGAATTTTCCGTTTCGGGACGTTTTTGGAAATTTTCACCAACTTGTAATAAAATGAAATATGATTGAGTAGGTATTGATGAAAAACTGGTCCTCTCTTATTTATTCGAAAAACAATTAGAAACGACTGAAGCACAATATAGCAAAATACATATAGTAAAAGCAAAAATTAGGAATAATTTCATTTTTCTCCAAGCGGCAAGGATATAGTGGCTTTTTCCTGCCACTTAACAAGCAGAAAAAGTGTACTTTTACTGCCAAGGCAGGAACAGTTTGTTGCTATGCAACGTTCCAATAAATTCTAATGAAATTAGTAATCAAAATTGACACTGACATTGGGTGAACACAAAATGGATTTATATCATTTGAAGAAAAAATTATATGTTTCACACGGCAGCAAATGTAGACTGACTGCCTTGGCTGAATTCCTGATGAACTATATCAGCCGCGGCAGTCAATCTACTACTTTTCTGCCTAGTAAAACAAATAACTATTCAGTAAAAAAACGCACTAACACAGATAAAAATCTCGAAGTTTATTATGGATATCTCTTTGATATCTCGAGATTTACTTGAAAATTCATCCCTGATTTCTATAGGTGAATTTTCTATTTCAAAATTGTTATCTGATATCGATTACTATTTTCAACCGATTTTCATCATCTAGTACATCAAAACCTGGAAGGAGAAGCGCCGAATATCACGCAGTGATATTTTGGAACGAATCATAATATGATTTGTCCCTACGGAACATATAATTATATTGATATAATGCTCATATTTTCAAACATAGGAACTAGGAGGGTGAATCTAGAGATATGTAATAGTTCTACTCAACACCCTGTGTAAATTTTACGCTGTTAATTGGT